TAGCATATAGACACAGGGGAGATATAAGCTCCCATCCCCCAGACTCTGCTGGTTGCACATCTGCCTTGAGGCTTTGTAAGGGTGTAAAAATGCCCAGAACATGTCCCTTCCTGCCCAGCCATGCTTTACCGCTGGCTGGATTGGAATGCTCCTTATAATTAGAGCAGTTGTGGCAGTGACTCTGAGCCTGGAAGCTGCAGCCTGGTACATGATAGAAGCCCCCAGTCAGGGCACCAAGCCCTGCCCCTTTCCAGCTCCTGGCCTAGCACTTGGGAGTTCAAGGGGCCTTGGATTGACTGTGTGAAGGGGTTGGGAGGATGTTACCATAGTCCTCCTGACCACAGTGTCCTGGGTGGTTGCCGTCTCATAAGGCTGGCTTTGCCCCCTGAAAGTGACAGTCCCCCCATACCATGCCACTTTCATTGCTGCCTGATGCTGGTGGTGGTGCTGCCTTCAAAGCTGGGAATCTGGCATGAAGCTGCTGCTCTCTGCATATCCACCTCTGAAGGCAGCACAAAAGGAAGGGTGGCAATATGGCGACCTTCCTACAATAGCCAGATTTCATGAGCGAGACCTGATTTCATGGCTCGTGACATGCCTTTCATGGCTGTGAAGTTGGTAGGGCCCTACTGAATAGGGTGAGGGTTATACTTATTTGTGTATATTACCATTGCGTCTAGGATATGGTTTCCTTTAATGGAGTCATAATCAAATACCTGTATGAACACTGAATAGTGCTCTGTTCAACTACCACCCCCATTTTGTGGAGATACATGTGGTATAAGGTGCTGCTCATTGGGACGGTGGCTCATATCCTGCATTCCTTATACAGACAAGATGCCTTCTTCTTTACAGCTTGTCAGGCACCACACAGTCCATGCCTAATATTCTACTGCAGGGACGAGGAACCTTTTTTGGGCCAGGGGCCGCTGACCCCAGAAAAATCAGTTGGGGGCCACACACAAGTGAGAAGCAAAGTGAGAAGCCCCTGACTGAGCAGGAGAAAGATATTCCCCCACATTCCCCTTGCACACCAGAGCTAGTAGATTTTATGTACTCCAGCCTGTAAAATGGTCTGAGTGGGTTTCAGGGGGGCTGGAATACCAGCTCAGACTCCCCAATGCTCAGCCTCGGAGGCTGTATCCAGGCAAGGTAGGGGTTTCATCCAGCCCCCAGGCCTGAGTTTCCCCACCCCTATTACACTGCCTCAACTTTTGGCACTAAGCATATTCTGGGGCCCCAATCAATAAGCTGAGCATGTAATAATATAACGCTAGAGAAAATTAAAGATACTTCTTTGTCATACAAAAGTGATGACAACTGCTGGACAACGTCTCTGCACACGAAGTCAGTCACGGTTCGCCCGCAAGAACGAGCCCCTTCCTCCCAATCACCGCATGCACATTCAGGGCTGCTGGTTTTTTTTTTATTATTACTTTAATGCACATGTAATAAAAAGCTTTAAAACATCCCTAGTTTTGCCCAGTGTGAACTAGAGAAAAAGCGTTAATGAGAGAAGGATGCACAGCCTTGTGTCAGCATGCTGGCCCTCACACATCCTGTAATACGTGCAACTAGAGTGGCAGGGGGACAATGGGAGTCCATGACTTGTAGCTCTTCTTGTCACTTTGTACTCTGCGGCTTCCAAATGAGGTTGAGGCTCACTTCACCACTCTTGAATTTACTATGACAGCCAATGTGCTGCAGACAGAGTGCAGATAGCAGCAAGTCACAAACAAGTTGTTACTGAGGTAATTTTTCAAGGTAAAAGTTTTGTTGCCCATTGAACCCTTTTACTTTCTGTAAAGATTCATTTCCCTGTGTGTTGAACACAGCCTGCTCATTTCACATCATTGTACATTCTCTATTAACATTTGTCTAATGGAAATCCAATGAAGCATGTAATACAGAATGGGGAGTGCCCAGTGCTGCAGGATTTAGGGTTTTTTTTCTTTGAAACCCAGCAGTGAAACCTGAAAAATGTTCTGCAGAAAACAAGACAAATGATTCAAAGTAATGGCCATACATTAATGGTCACTTTATGACAGCCATAATTAGAGTTCATCAGGTTTGCTAGAAGCCTGATCCTGCACTAGTGAAGTGCATGAAAGTTCCAGAAGCAGAAGATCATTAGGTTTTTGAAAGAAAAATTGTATTAGATTGTTATAGGTACATGTGTAATTAGGCTGGGATTTTCAAATGTAACATGAGTTCAGCACTTCTCTTCCCTTTGTTCCATTCTTAAAGAGAATTTTCAATTCTCTCCCATTGGGCACCTCTGGCAAATTTGCAGTTGCTTGACTAATCCTTGAATAAGACCTTGTAGGATTAGGCCCAATGATTATAAACTCATTTGTCTTTAGTTACTAATTTGCATCTGGTTTAATTTTTATTAACAGCCAACTTTATTGTTATCCTGTTTGACCTGAGCTGTTAGTCAACATGTGGGGTCTTGTCGGTTGTGCCATTAGGTGAAAAATCTCAGAGTCAGGTATTTCTTTGTTTATGTACTACGTATAAAGTCCATCTACTCTGAACACAGTCGGACTCAGCAGCAAGAAAGAGTTCTTTTCTCACAGCTATAAGCCCCTTTCAGCCGGCACTCTCCCAAAAGCTCTCTCTCTATGCTTTATCTTTTCAGGCTATGTCTACACTACAGAGTTTTTTCAGAAAAATGGCTGTTTTTCCAAAAAACTTCACTTATATTCACACTGCAATTGCGTTCTTGCGGGAAAAAAATTGAAAAAACAGAGGGGGGTTTCCAACATTGGTAAACCTCTTTCTACGAGGAAGAAGCCTTTTTCCGAAAGAGCTCTTTCTAAAAAAGGCATGTGTGGACGGGGAAGAGGGAGTTCTTTCGGAAGAAGAGGAAAGAGGAAACAGCACAGGTGCCCTGGTGGCCATTCCATCCATAGTCATCACAATTTCAATGCGAAATAACGTCCATTCACTGTGGATGCTCTCTTTCGAAAAAGCAGATCGCTTTTTAAATGCAGTTTGGCAGTGCGGACCCTCTCTTTTGGAAGAAGTTTTTTCCACAGATCTCTTCCGGAAAAGCTTCTTCCGAAAGAAGCCTGAAGTCTAGATGTAGCCCCAGCTTTCACCTGAGCTTGTTCTCTCTCACACACACACCCCACAGCTGCAAACAAATCAGCCCCCCATGCTGGTGTTTGCTATCAGACCCTCGGCAAACCCCTACAACTACACAGCTCACCCACTGCCCAGGGTTCCAGGCATGAGCACCGGGTATCATAGGCAGGGGGGCAACCTACTGTGGCCCCATTGCCAGGCCAGCGTGCCTCCCTCAGAGACTCAGGAGCACCCGGGTGTTGGTGCTGAGTCGTACTGCTTGCCTGCTGCTCTGGGGCTGGCTGCCCAAACACCCAGAATTGAGAGAGCAGCAATTCTCACTGCCTCCTTCCAGCCTCAGCTGCCCGGCACTGGGGTCAAGGGCTGGGCTGTGGGTGCTCTGGGCTCCTGTAGGGGAAGGGAGGTAGAAGAGGAGGAAGTGGGGGAACAGAAGGAGAGGGGCAGAGTCTTGGGCACAAAGAGAGGATGCCGGTGTTAGAAGCTGGATCACTGTCTCCCCAGGCTTGCAGTGATTTTCCATTCCTTCAGCCATTACTAAACACAGGGGGATTTCATGATAGAAATGCAGCTGTGTTAGTCTGGTGTAGCTGAAACAAAAAACAGGACTATGTAGCACTTTAAAGACTAACCAGATGGTGTTCATTTTTTTAAATTGTATCCTTTGGTATATATGGTTGTGACAATTTTCTTCCACTATTTGATCTGAGGAAGTGGGTCTGGCCCACGAAAGCTCATCACCTATTAAACCATCTTGTTAGTCTTTAAAGTGCTACATAGTCCTGTTTTTTGTTTCAGGGGGATTTCATGGTTCTTTCATGTAGTCTGAATTGAAGGGAGTATCCCAGCCAACAGTTTCAACAAAGGGGCCCGATCCCCACCCGCTAGTATAACAAACAGCATGTTTAAAAAAATACTCAGAACAAACTTGAAAGCTCTAGATTGAGTTGAAAAGATCGTGTCATCTATGTGTCACTTTCATTTGAATTGCACAGATTTTTTTTTTAAAACTATGCTTAGAGAACACCCTAAGGAGGTTACTCTGACATTATTTCCACAGACTCACTTCTCAACAGAAACTCATATTCTTTAGGGGACAACTGCATAAAAACAGCAAATCCCGAAGACTGTTTTTTATGTCATGGATATAAAGAATGCATTCCAATATAAATGCATGCTTAGGGCCTGAAAAAGATGATGGGCCATGGTACAAACAAAGGTGTCTAGATGCTGCCCTTTATCCCATTGTTCACAAAAAAAAGGAACCTAGGGAATGTAATATTCTTTCCTCAGGGCAGAGGCAGAAAGTTGTTGCTAGATCAGGTGCATTGATGATAGAATAGACTTCCAAGATTAGCAGCCTCCAATAGGGGTAATTAACTTGAATAATTCGTTATACTGAGCTGCCTCCTTGGATCTACCCTTCCTAAAAATATTCTCATTAAAAGAAAGCTTGAAGAGCTAAGGAATATTTTGCTAACTTTTTTAAAGGTATTTATGCCCATGCAAAATGCTCTAACCATCTTTTCATGCAATGAAACTTACAATGGTAAATCATGACATTCAGCTGTAAAAAAGAATAATTTCCAAATAGTGAATTAACTCGGCCGGTCAATAAATCAAAGCAGCAAAAGAAAATTATCAGCATTCCCAGAATGTATTTCCAGCTTCCTCAACTAACCATGCTTCATAGATGGCTTTTGCCATTTCCATTATCCACATACTCACATTACAATACTCTCTGTCTTATGCAGGCTGGGTACTGAGCATCATTTCCTCACTATTAAAGGTGCTCAGTACCTCACAGGATCAGACCAAATGGAGGTAAATGTTTGCAATGATACAGGAGGTAAGGCAAAGAGTTATCTTCTAGTAAGTTAACAAACAAAACCCCTGATGAAGAAAGCTAATAGATTTTTTATTTCATTTCATTCACACTGGAAAGAGTTAAGAAGCTGGAACATTTGTCTTTCAGTTACATTGATGAACATGCTGTACAGGTCGCTTATCAGTGATCTTTTTTGGATTTGTTCTTACGCTGTGGAAGACAAACACATTCGTGTTCACAGAAAGGCTGTGCAGTCCAATAGGGGAAAAGTCAATAATACTTTTTTATTTCCTACTAGGGAAGGAGAGTCAGTCATGATAGATTTGTACAACATCCAGCCAAAGGCAGCGCTGATGTGCATATTTCAAGACCATACATGTGTTGAAGTGTGTTAGTGTTCTACTAGCTGGATGTACAAAGTTTTAAAATACATACTATTAAATATTACAGAGATATCAACACTACATGATGCACAAAGCCTATGTAAAGTAGTAGATGTACTAGATTTGGGCATTGTGCCAAATATGATTTTGGTGGCCCCATGGCTAGAGCGGTTACCATTGACACCACTGCAGAAATTACAATGACTTTTCAGTCATTCATGGTAAGAAAAAGGGAAGCTTTAACCCCATGCTATCTCAGCAGTTAATATTCCAGGCCAGCCTTGTTACCAAAACACACATTCAACATGCAAATCTTTGTTGATAGTCTGCAAATACTTATCACCTGTTCCATCCCACGTAGTTGCCATCATACCAAGCTATATGTAGTTAGTGCTTTTATTCTCAGTGTCATTGCTAGAGCAAGGATTTTTCCTCTGAACATTTATTCCAGTATTTTAGAAGAGGTATAATTTGGACTTCTACGATGGTAATTGACAATATAATTTACAGAATCATTCCTTACATTTTTGAAGAGCACTAGTACCTTAGAATGTTGTAGATTTGTAGCTAATTTTTATATCATACCAGCAGACATACATTGCCCGGGTCCTTCAGGGCAGAACCTTGGGATGTGGGAAGGGGGGAAGAACCCTGGGGAAGGGAGGAGAGTGCGAGAGTGAGGGTTGCGGTGTGAAGAGGGGCTCAGGGTAGCCGGTTCCTACCCACCGGGGGTTTGTTCTTTCCCCCCCTGGATTCCCTCCAGACAACCAGGGGTCTGTTCTCCCCTCCCCCCCCGAATCCCCCAGTCTGCCAGGGGCCTGTCCTCT